GTGTCAAAGAAATAAAACACTTCAGCCTTGCCGCTCTTGTCAATCCATCTATAATCCAGTTTGACCATCGACGTGGGACCACGTTCTTCTGTTTGAGCCAGCTGCGGTAACACCACCGACGCTGGATAGACAATGTCGCCAAGTCGTGCCAATGGTGGACCACCAGGATTTTTGATGACATCATAGCCCTGCTGCTTAATCAAATTTGATATTTCCTGATACGTTAGATTAATGGACGGCTCAGGGAAAGAAAACTGGCCGGGTTTTATTTCATTTTCAACCGAAAATGATAGCTGGACTATCCATAAAACCGATACGCGAAGTAGCCAATACAAGTGATATACGGTACACAAATGCATAATCTAGGTGCATAATCAACAAATAGTTCGCAGCTTTTTGAACGGTGAAAACGTAATTTACACTTCACCGTCACCTGCCGTAATTAATTGGTACTTTCAAGACAAAGAATGTTTCATTGCGAACGAGCAGGCCAGCCATAGAAATAAAGACTAGAAGGGACAGCTGCCTCTGCGGCACACGTGAATGCGCCGCCATTGAACCACAGTCAAAGGCTGTGGTTGTTTACATGGGGCCTATAGCGAAATCGTGTAGTTGGGTGGTTTCGTGCTTTATTGTATTGAATTGAAGGGGTGCAGGGGTATTTCGGGTAGTGCCCCAGAAACAAAATTCATCAGAAAAGACGATGAAACACATTTTGAGTAAGTGGTTTGATGTTTACTATGATATTAGGGAGCTCAACCCGCGCCCCACTGGGGGGGGGGGGCTATTCATAGCCCCTCCCGTTTTTTTCTGCAATAACTTCCAAACCGCTTGACGGATCGACGCCAAACTTTTAGTACCTTCGGCTGCATCAATTTGACACCTTGTGTCAAAATGTGAACTTCGTAGCTACCATAGGTTGGCCGAAAATGACGTCAGAGTGACGTCATGTTCGGCCGATTTCGACGCAAAACATTGAACCACGGCAATCGCGCCCAAGAGCTCAGTTTTTAAGCTAGATCCAATTTCTTTGCATGAGAGGACTCAAAATAGACTGCCCTATCAAACTGCCATCTCAGATTTTCAAAATTTTGAAAATTTTGAAAATTATATATAATAAAATTAAAGATTTATATTTTTTCAAAAACTTTTTGCTTTTCGAAAAAAATGAAATAGGTATATGTGATTAATTACATGCTTATGACTTAGTGTAGCAAGTTTTAGCTAAATATCTTTAAAAATGGCCAAGTTATACTCATTATTGCAAAAAATTCACAATTATTAATTTTTCAAATCAATTTTTCAGTACGTATTTGACATCGCATACCAATATAAGTAGCACCATCGTGTTCCGGAGCTCAAGTTGCATCAAATAGACATCTTTTTTTTTGTTGAAAAATTTTAACTTCAAAATTTGACCTTTTTTGACCTGAAAGTGACCTGAACTAAGCTAATTTCAACTCAAAATGACCTCGAATGACACAGACGGCATCAAATTCGAAATCCATGGTCTACATGTGTCACGTGACCAACGCATGATATAATATTTCAGTGACCTGTGATGACCTGACCCTGACCTGAAAATCAAAGTACAAGTTTGGTACCCTCAGGATATCTAGAGCATCTGTTCACGAGTGTATAAACCAAAAATTAGCCTTATCTGACTTGTAAGACGGCGGCCAAAGCCCAAAATGTGAACAAGCCAAAATGCTAATAATTTTTACTTTGACCTGACCTGGGACGTCATCGGTGACCTCGAGGTCAATGAAATTAGGTTTCTCTGAACAGTTTTTCCTGGGCTATGAGACGCCATTTGAATTTTGACGATCGGCCCAGTAGTTTCGGAGTTAGGAGAGGGGCTATGGAGAGCCCCCCCCCCCCCCCCAGTAGGGCGTGTTATACGCAGACCCCAGTGGGGCGCGGGTTAAATATGAGCACCTCCACGTGGATGGGACTTGTAACAGTTGTGCTATTGAAGGACATGCCATAGGGCCGGTCGGCCTGTCCCGTTGGACAGGCTCAGCCCCGGTGACTCACCAAGGTGCCCGCCCAGACCAACGTGTCCCTCAATTCCTATCATCCTTCCGGCCCTGAAATGGTCTCGTCAGACCGAAAGGGCCTGGGCCCAACCCAACAAAACAAACACAGCTCTTTTAACGCTCTTTTTGTAAACTGTGCTAAGATTTGACCTAGGCCAGTTAATTCTACAACTTTTATGTCAGAACATTTTTATGCTTCTACAGCTCTGTTGGCCTGACAGCTCTTCCTGCGAAACCTTTTTTGGGTCGAAAATGGCAGACCATGACGTCATTCTGACGTCATTTGCGGCCAACCCATCATAGCCTCTGGAAAAATTGCTCACAACGTTTAAAATGGATGCCCGGACAGGTCCTGAATTTTGGTGGCGATATTTGCAGTCATTTAGGAGATAGCTACAGAAGAGGACAGGGGACCATTTTGCCCCCCCCCTTTCTACGAGGCGCGGGTTAACGTCCTTTCAACTCAGGCTACAAGGGCCCTTTTTCCACTTAGGGGCCCTTTCAACCCACTCAGCCAAGGGCCCTTTTGACTGCGGACCCCCCCCCCCCGAGAGAAATCCTAGATACGCCACTGATGCCATTTGTATCATAAACTGATTAAAACATGGCATTTGTGTTATTTACTTTCTAATTGACTGTAATTGAAGTCTTTTCACTCACTTTTATGATTATTTTGTGTTCTGTGTAATGCTATCTGAGTGATCCGTTGCCATAGTCTGCTGGGTCCTATATTCCTGGCTGTATATGCATTTATGGTTGTGAAGTTTGATTAACTTCAACTGTTGCCTTATGGGGGCCTTTTTGAGGCATCTGACCTGACCTGGAAAGTCACATGATGATGTACCTAAACTGATAGAATATTGATCTAAAATATTTCATTTATGTGCAAGATCACATTTGTGCTCGTTTTTATGATAAGTTATGCTTTATCAACAGTATAACGCCTTTTGGGACGACTAACGGAGCGAGCGAGAGGGTGAGCCTTGCACCTGCGAAATTTCGAGGGGGTATCTCCAACTGACTTGTGCACGGCACCTTACTTACTGGTCCCTGACCGTGTGCCAAATTTGAGCGCTATCGGTCCAGCCGTTCTCGAGATCTGGAAACGACCCCTGCACTTGCGCACGTGCAGCAGCACCCCAACTCTGGCACATGGATATGCAATATGCATTGCCTAGTGGGTGCCTACCTACATGCCAACTTTCAGCGCAATCGGCCTAGTAGTTACCGAGACATTGCAACCATTACAAAACTGACACCTCTTCGTTTTGCACGTGGCACGTGCATAAGGGGTCACCCACAAGCATCGGGAATAGTCCAATACTTGGAAGAAGGAATGAAGCTATACCCTACAAAAATTACCGCGTGCAAACCGGTCAAGTGGTTGCTGAGATATAAGCCTCGCAAAAGCGTCCGCACGGCCGGTCGGCCGGCCGGCCGCTCATACTCAGAAATTTCCTTTAATCTTAGGAAAGACTCCGCTCGCTTCGCTCGCTCCGTAATAACCAGTATAACGCCTTTTGGGGCGACTAACGGAGCGAGCGAGAGGGTGGGCCTTGCACGTGCGAAATTGCGAGGGGTACCTCCAACTGACTTGTGTACGGCACCCTACTAAGCGGTGTCTAGCGATGTGCCAAATTTGGGCACAATCGGCCCAGCCGTTCTCGAGATCTGGAAGCGGCACCCTGCACGTGCGCACGTGCAAAATGGGTCCCAACTGACTTGTGCACGGCACCCTACTAACCGGTCCCTAACTGTGTACCAAATATGAGCGCAATCGGTCGAGCCGTTCTCGAGAACTGGAAACGACCCCTGCACGTGCGCACGTGCAGCAGCACCCCAACTCTGGCACATGTATATGCAGTGCCTAGTGGGTGCCTACCTACATGCCAAATTTCAGCGCAATTGGCCAAGTAGTTACCGAGATATTGCAACAATTACAAAACTGACACCTCTTCGTTTTGCACGTGGCACATGCATAAGGGGTCACCCACATGCATCGGGAATAGTCCAATACTTGGAAGAAGGAATGAAGCTACCCTACAAAAATTAACGCATGTAAATCGGTCAAGTGGTTGCTGAGATATAAGCCTCGCAAAAGCGTCCGTACGGCCGGCCGGCCGCTTATACTCAGAAATTTCCGTTAAAGGGACCCTCCCACCTTCAAAAAAGTTTATGAGTTGGCATGAAAGTGATGTCGCTCGGTTCAGAAAGAGCGAAAACGAATATCTACCATATTTCACCGAAAAATATTCACCGGTTTTTAAGATATTAGACTTTTACTTTTGTTTACTTTTTGGGATCTCCGCTGTTCCCATAGAGATCTTACATACATAAGATATAAGATATAAGATATAAGATGTATATAAGATCTCTATGGCTGTTCCTTGCGATTTTATTTGGAAGCAATAGTTTGGCAGCTGAAAGTGCGGCACTTGTTGCGCGCAAAGCAGCATATACCACCGCGTGCTACAAAACGTTTTAGTCAAACATTTAAAAATCGTTAGATATCTACGCTGACGTCACACATTCAGAGGGGTGTTCCTATGCATTAGCCCCTCTGAATCAAAATGCTGCAATTTTGAAATTCAATATTTCCGATTTAAGGCATTTCTCGATGTTGTGAGTGCCGAAACCGGTACCTAATTGTGAGCCAGGGACCCCATTTTGGCTATCTCAACTCAAATCTAATGTTAAGGTGGGAGGGTCCCTTTAATCTCCGCTCGCTTCGCTCACTCCGTAATAACTATCAATGTTAATACATTGAGATAAAACGATGCCACACTGACGATTTGAACTTGATTTCCAACCAGCCAAACAGCATTATTTTTCCAAATAAAGACCACCATCGTGTTTAGAAAAAAGCACAAAAATAGATGTCAAGCCATCACATCCGACCACCTTGACCGAATTCGACCCACCCTACTTCACATACCAAACCGTTCAACTAAAGATGCTTGTGTTTTCTTAGTAACTGTATTCTAACATCACACACATCACCAACAGCATTCCTACATTCCAGCATTCCTGTACATTCTCCGCGTAAATGCTTTGAATGAGTGGAACATACGGGGCCAATTTCACGTAGAATCAAAAAGATGACGGCTGTCCTATGGCAAATTTCGGGTGAATTTCACATGTGTTTTTGCGAAGCAGTTATGCCCATATCCGCTGTTTCAAGTTCGTAAATGTTGGACTTTTATCACTCTAATGCAGTGAGGTCAGTTGTAACACTTTTATTTAAGTTCTTAGATAACTAGTTAAACTCCATTAAACCCATGTCACAGTTTACAGTATTCACAACAAAAATAATCGTTGGATATATCACTATGTTGAATAGTGGTTATGATAACTAGTTATTCCACGTATATTGATTAAATATAATAACACACAAACGCTACTACCTTGGCTCAAAGAACCATTGGACCATATTCGCATTCTCGCACACATCGTGCCAACATACATCTTCTCCCCGTAGATGACGTGCCTAACACGCTGGCACTGGCAGCGTCCAAGAGCCCTCTGAGGCCCTAGTGCATTGTTTCGTTGGACTCGTGGACGGCTCGGTTCCTGTTGGCACTGTGTGTAAGACAGACTAGTACAGGGCGTGACGCGCACGGCTGACCTCCGCCGGCACCGGGCGGCCGTACTCGTAGGGCCGTGCGCCCAGGTTGCCGGTGGAGCCGGCGAAGGCTGGCGGCACTGCTGAGCGCCAGGCACCTGTGACGCTGCTCAGGTCCGGCTCAGAGCGGCACAGGTTCGGCTCAGAGCGGCTCACCGCCGAGCCGCCGGGCCGAGCGGGCGCCGCCGGGACCCACGGATCGAGCGCGCGTTCCTGGCTGGCCGAGAGGTCGGGCGGCGGCGGCAGCTCGGCCGCTGACGATGCGGCCGGCTGGGCCAGGATCCTCCTGCGCACGGCGGCCAGGTGCTGGCGGTACTGCGACGGTGTCATCCGGCGGGGAGAGCCGGCCGGCGCGGGCCGCGGCGCCGCGGAGGGGACGTGGCCGCAGCAGGGCGGCACGTGGATCTCCTGGTGCAGAATGTGGGTGACGGAGGGCGCCTCCCGCAGCCGGCCGCTGTAGTCCGTCCCCACGGAGTACTCGCGTGTAGCTGTGTCATACCTGTCAACTAGATCCGCCAGTCTGTCCTCTAGAACAGTCGACGGCACGACGGTAGTTTGCCGGTACGCCGGTGAAGCAGCGGTCATCCCTGCGTGGCGGCGTGGCTGGAGCGGCGGTAGCGTCTCCATCAGGACTCGCGCTCGTGCTCGCCGCCGCGCTACCAGCGCTCGCATTTGCTGCAGGCTCTTCTGCAGGCTGTCCTCGACCTGCAAGAGTCGACGATGACGCTCCGTCTCGCTGTCCCGATAGTAGGCGCTGCTTCGCGCTCGCTCTTCGCGAAGCGATTCCAACTCGCGACAGATCTGGCTTTCTAGACTGCCAACACGAGAGCCAGAAATGTTCACGTGAGTCGTGCTGTATTCTGGGTAACGATCAGCATGCTCAAAGGACAAGCGCTGCCTTTCTGATGAGTCGTGTGATGTATAGAAGGGGCGCGAGAAGGAATCACGAGTTGGTGATGTGTGGATGCTGTAGGCCTGTGTGTGAGAACGCAGGCTAGGATTGTTGAAAGAATGCCGAGCATCATAGCCATAGTAGCTTGAATGAGGTTCGTAGTTGGAAAATGAAGACGCAAAGCGTTGATTTTCATTGGGAAGTTGAGAACGCTGTTCCTGACTTGAAGAAGAATCGCGACCGTGTTCCCATTGGTAGGCCACATCTTCGATTCCATCTGTCTGTGACGAAGCATCCCGCAGTGTCTGCGTTGAGGCATTCACCAACCGCTTGGTCTGGCGCTCTTCGACCAGAGGGATACCGACATCCTGTCCGATCAGGTCCCAATTGGCCGTCTCCAGCTGCGTGGACGGCGTGTTCTGCGGAAGGTACCGTCTCGCCCGCCTTCTCACTTCATCCGGCATCGTAAGACCGAACTCAGTCTGAGTTTGCTGGAGAGGCGATCTACCCATCACGAAGTCTGGCTCCTCGTCGGATTCTTCCTCCGTGCTGCTGGCATCGCTATCTGACTGAGTCGTCAACTTCTGGGGCATCTCACCGTCTGGAGAGCCATGCACCACCTCCAGCTCACCCGAGCCGTGGAGATCGTTCCAGGAGACACATTTCTTTCCACGGCCTCGATCATCGGACTCTGAGTCGTTTTGACACTCAGGAGACGCCAGAGGAAGCCGACCAAGCGCGATGATGTTTGCAATGTCTACTGGCGGTCTGCCACGCTGAAGGAGGCCGTCCGCGCTGCTGCAGCGCGCAAGTCCGGCTCTGCGTCGTCGTCGGACGCAATCGGCAGAGACGGTGCGCTCCAGACGCACCGCAGACGCGCGATGCTCACTTCGTGGCACAGCAGCGCTCAGTCCGATGTCGGAAAGCTCGGATGTGCTGTTGAGATCTGCGGCAGATTCGATGTACAAGTACATGATATCGGAGGTGCTGAGCGGTTGCGCGGTGGCAGGCTCTTCGTCCGCGGCGTGTTGCAGCTCCACGTACTGCTGCCACATCTGCACCTTCTTGTCTGCAGTGGATGCCCCGAAGGACGATGGCGATTGTGACGCCTGATCCTTGTCACCAGTACCGTCTTCGTCGTCGTCGCCGAAGTTATGCCTGTAGCGGGCAAGATGACCGAATGTGGTGGTTGCCACCAGCGGATCCTCGCGGATGTCGCCTTCCGTTTCGGTGATGTTGGTGAGAGATTGTGTAAGAGCGCGCAGAGGTCGGGATACAGGTGGTTGTGGGACAGTTTCTCGTGGTGAGAGTGCTCCATCCAGCTCGCCCAGTGAAGTGCGTGGCTGAATGTCCAGCTTCAGTTGCGGTTGTTGGCAGGCGGGAGGAGATGTTGAATCCCAGTCGTCTGCCTCAGATTCGTCAGACAAAGTCATACCCTGAGCACGATTCAAAATCATCGGTTTCACTTGGGACACATCTGCAAATGCTGTCAGGGGTGTCTCCTCCTTGTAAATGACATCACGTACGCCTTTCTTTTTCCCGGTCGACTCAAATTGGCTAGCTTTTCTTGAATCCCTACGGGCCTGTTGGATTTCAGGTTTGTCAATGAACGTCTCTTCCTTCGAGTGAAAAAATTCATCCCTTTTCGTGTTTGTCTGAGGAGCTTCACATTGCCCAGTTCCATCTTTCGTTCTTGGTGCGTTTTGTGGGGCAGTGGTGTTTTCAAGATCATTTGATGATGCCTTCGATTTCAATGCGTCCACGTCATCACTTTTCTTTCTCAACGAGACCGAACCTTCATCACTCGATCGGTTTGTTTGACTTTGACTGGTGGTGGAAATACGGGGTGTTTCACAGCTGGAATCCTCAGAGTCCTCCTGAAATCGCACATCGCTTGGCATTGTTTTGGAATCACGTACCTCTAAAGAGACCTCTGTGAACTCTTGCCCAAGGTCATACATTGAGCAGATCTCGGTTGCAGCTGGTTGTTGTGTTCTCATGGCGTCCACCGTTGTTTCATCTTCAGTGTCAAAACTGTAGAACATCTCGTCTTGATCGCTTTTTCTCAGGTCCTCCACTGATTCAATCGTGTCCATTGATAGTGTTTGTTCGTCTACCTCCTCCAATAGATGTCGTTGAATCTCATCAACCACTGAAGACGTCGCTGACCGCATTGTGGTTTTTCTTTCTTCCTCCTTCACTTCTTTGTGTTTGTCGTCTGTGGAATCATCAGGCATCGCCAGATCACAATCAGGTCGCTCGTTCCGCCGTCTTGATTGTTCATCGGCATGTGTTGTTTGTTTATCGTAAGGGATTGTTTCGAAGTCTTCCGGCAGTCTGCCTTGTAAAGTAGTTACATCTGTTGTCGCAGTGTGTTCACTGGCGCAGACATGTTTTCTCTCATCTGACTCTTGCATCTCTTGTAGCTCTGAGACGGACATATGTTCTTTTTGTGCAGTTTCATACACGTCAGTGGTTTTGCGTTTCTGGTGCTCAGTCGATGCATCCTTCCTATCATTCATGCTGGAGGCACCTGGGCTACATGTTTCGTGCACTTGGCTACTTCCGGTGACATCTGGATCTTCTGACATGTCCGATAACACCTGCCAAGTATCATTTTGACGCCTTGCAACACCTGTCGTGTCTTGTGCTTCAAGCGAAGCACAGGATTGTGCATTTCTCTTCTGATCTGAGCCTGGCGACTTTTCCTGATCTTCTATAGCGACAGGCGTTACTTTCCTCGTATCAGGCTCATGTTGAAGATTACCTTCTGTTGTTTTAATTGCTGGATGGGCTTCGTCTTCATCAGCTTCGTCAGCTTCGGCAGCTTCGGCAACTTCGGGAGCAATGGCAACGTCGTCAACGGCAGCTGACTGAAATTCTGTTTCTACTTCATGTTTGAAGACTTTTTCCACCGATGTCTCGACGCTACCTACAGGCAAACCACATTGGTACGAAAGACGTCTGCCAGTGATAGCTTCTTCGTCGCTTGCGTTCACATTCGATTGGTTTTCTAGGCTCGACGTAATCTGGCCTTTGTCTTGGGTATCATCACTTTGAATACCAGAAGCGTGGACGTCACTTGGCGTTTCTACCACCTCGGTCGATATTCCTTGGCATTCTCCAGGAGTATCCATGACATCGCGTTCGTTCTGTCCCTCGAATTCTCTTGACGTCATCCATTCCCGTTCACTTCGATGGTGTTCTTTTGATGCTGTGTCTTCCTCGGTCTGTTCGTTTGATTGTATCATGATACTCTCTTCGATAATGGCAACTGCCGGTGTAACCCCCTCTCCGTCTTTTTCAGAAACTTTGTCATTTTGGGGCAACATCTGTTCTGAGCCGCAAAGATACGCTGATTTCTTGCAAACTGCGGGCTCGGCATCCTTCACGTCGTCAGTGTCGTTCGACTTTTCATCTCCATCTGTAATGTGACTTCTACCTTCTGCTGGAATTGGATCCGTACAGGGTTGACTTGCATGCACCTTAGTTGACTTATCTCCTGTGCTCACAACCTGGTCCGAAATGCTTTGGAGCAGCTCTTCCAGGTCCTTTTCATCAGATTCATGTGTTTTGCTTTGAACGCAGGGACCTGTGATAATGGCAGCATCTGTTAGCAGTTCATCGGTCAACTGCTTTCTTTTTTGCTTTGCGTCAAGTTGTGCATGGTGTTTTCCATGCACATCAGTGCTGTCATCCAGCATGCTATTTGCTTTGCTTAGTACTCCGCGCACAATCATTTCTGCCATTTTCACGGCATCTCGATCATTTCTCTCATCCAAAGGCATCTGATCGAGAACCAGCTGTTCTCCGCAGCTTTGCTCCCCTTTTAACATTCCTGTGTCCTTTTCATTTCCAAGCGTCAGCATTTCTAGGCCGGTTACATCGAGAAGGTTCAAAGATGGTGCTTCGGAAGCAGTGCTGTCCTTGTCTGAGGCTCTCTTGTCAGGTTCGACGTGTTCGTTTTCCTCATCTTCGTCTGCAACTTCTAGTTCTCTTTCATGGCTTACATCAAAGTGTTCCAGAGCTTCGAGATGTAAGACAGTTGCTGGTTTAGTATCGTCAGCATAGCACAGCACGGTTGTTTTGTTTTCTGCCACCTGAAGATCCTGTTCATCAGCTGTGATAGCTTCTACCGCTTGTTGTTGTCCAAAGCTGCCTTCAGGGGGGCTCATGCCGGGCGTTGACGATTCGACAGCAATGCCGTTCTTTGCTGACTGATCATCGATTTCTATCGAGTGACACAGAACCGTCTCAATTCCCTCAGCTGAGGCAAACACTTTTGCTTCACTCTCTAGAGATTCTGTAGCCCCTTGAGCTGCGCCATCCCCAGAAACAGCGTCAGAATCCTCTCCATCGCCCAACTGCTCCAACTCAAGTGTGGGAGCTTCATACGTCCCATCACCGTAACAGAGGAGTTCCACCAGCGGCCCTTCCTCTGCCGTTCCATGTAGCCCTTCTTCATTCACGTTTGCTGTTGCTTCCACCGGCTCATCTGTATCGATGTCTGAAGTTTCTTGCCTTCGTTCTTCTTTGAGTGTTGCTGTGAATTGGAACTCTGGCTCTGTTGGAGGCATCTCGCTGAAGTCGTGACAACAAAGAACACTTTCTTTGACACTGAAAACTTCTTCATTTGTAAGTGCTTCCTCGACAGTTTCTGCTGCTTGGGGTGGGACAACTCGTTTTTCATCTCCCACTTCTTCATCAGTCGAGTCACTTGCATCATCATGTTCTAACTGTTCGAGTTTTAAATCAAGCGCTTCTGAATGGTCATCAGGGTAGCAAAGAATTGATGTTTGTGTTTCCCTTGCTGGTCCGTGCACTTCTCCTTCGACATTCTCGGTGGCTTTAATTACTTCAACTCTGTCGGGATCGGAGACGGATGCACCGTTGTCGAGAGTCGATGTCGGCGTTTTTCTCTCGGATAATCCCTCAGGATCGATGTCTGTTGCCGTGACTTGAGGCTCATCTAGTTGTTCCAGCTCGACATTAGGAGTTTTTACCCGATCATCTGGAAAGCACATGCTCCAAATGGGTGTTTCGGCTGCTGGTCCTTCCATATCTCTCTCGAAATTCTCTGCAGCTTTGCCAACCTCGACCTGGTCCAGATTGGATGCCTCTGCGGCATTTCCCGGTGGTGGTGGCGTGTTTGACGGAGCGCCCTGGGGATCGATCTCAGCTAACGTGACCTGGGCCTCTTCAAACATCGACGACCGATTTGCACAAGTCGAAGGCTCGCTCGACTCGTCGATTGGAGAGTCGTTAGAGGCTTCAGGGTGCCCTGGCTGCGATTCAGGGTGGATGTCACACGGCCCGCAATCAGTTGATGCCATGTTTGTAGCCGGCGTCAACAAACTGACAGCTTGACTTTCTGAGTGGGAGTGACTCGAGCCATAATTATCCCTTTCCCCTACTTCATTATCGTTACCTGTCCATGGCAGTTTGGGAATGGTAGTCACATCACAGGGCTCGATTTCTTCCCAGTGTTCACTTGCCGACATCATTTCTAGTGGCCTTTCTACCGTGGTGGTCTCGGGAAACATTTCCACGAGCTCTTCTTCAAGCATTTTCAACTCTTCACATTCTTCCACTGACACAGCATGCGACAGCTCAGGCACAACAGATGAAGTTTCAGTCCAAGCTTGTTTTGGGATCGATTTATCTTGCGAGTCAAGAGCTGAGGTAGAACCCTCGTTGGGTGCATTCGCTTGCTCAGTATCAACTCCTCCCTCACCTTCCGAACGAGCTGAAATCATTGTTTGCTCTTGCTCCGTTTCTACACTTGTGTCCACCTCCTCCTTCGTCTCTTTGGCCGCTCCTCCTGCAGCTCCGTCAGGCCTCTCGGACGTCTCAGGTAGCCGGGGGCTACCGGACCGAGGCTCTGCCATCGTTCCACTCTCGTCGCCTTCAGCGTCCACTTTGCTGAGCAAAGCGGAAGAAGGCATCACCTCCAGCCGGCCCGACACCTCCTCCAGCTCGCGGTCGGCCTGTACGTTGCTAGACACGCTGGCCCCCGACCTGCTGGGTGTACCACGGGGCCCCGACACCGGCTCCGAGACGTCCGCGCCTTCACGGACACCACACGGCGTATCAGCAGCCTCCGGTAAACTACCGTCGCTGGAGAGTTGTATAAGATTTTGTGGGGGTTTTCTTTCCTGTTCATTTGTTCCAGCTTCATTGTTGTCATCGCTGGCCGCCCGTCTGGGAGAACCTGCCTCGGAAGGAGAGCCAGCGGCAGGAGAGTTAACTTTGTAAATTCCACTTGCACCGGTCAGATCCGATCTCAAACTTTCGTCATCAACATCCCTCGAAGTATTTTTCGAATGACTGCTGGAGCTGGAGCTGCTAAGAGAGCTAGACGACTCGTCAAACGCCTCAACAATCTCTTCTTCGATCGTCTCTAGACTCGGCTCTTCCTCGGTAGTTTTGAAAAAGAAAAACTGCTCCTCAACCGGTGTCCTCGGTGACCTGGGACTGCCGGTGGTCACCTGAGTCTCCACCAGCCGCTGCTGCTCACATTCTGCGTCGGCGTCAATGAATTTTGTGTCGTCTCTTCTCAGCAGAGCGCCCTGCTCCTCAACCTCAAACACGAAAATCGCTGGTGGATCACAGGACCACCTCTCAACTTTGTCCGGCGAGAGGGAGTGCTCACACACTGGAGAGGCCCCTTCATCGAGTGGTCCTGACTCCCCAGCAGGGGTATTGACCTCCTGCACCGAATTCCTGGTAGCTCGGTGGTCACTAATGCTCTCCGGCGACGTTCGTCGATCGACAAACGACCGCACGTCAATATCTAGACCGCCGGCCGCCGGGCGGATCCGGCTTTCATCAGCCGCGCTCACGACAGACGCCGCTTTGCGATCCGGGCCCGGTCGATCGCCGCTGGGGGACGTTTGTGGGCCGCATGCCACTGCGACCGTGTCAAGTGGCGCTGCCGACTCTATCAATTCTGGTGACGTCATCGCCAGTTCCTGTGCCGCCGCCGACGTCGCCGTCACGTGCTCAGTGCTGACATTTGTGACGACGACGGTACTGTGGTGACCGCGTGACACACTGCGGTCGTGGCGGCTCGATATCTGTACCTCCTCGTCCTCCACGTTGGTGATAAGTCGGAATGGGGAGGGCGGGACGCGGCGGTGCGTGCCGACGGACGGCGCGCTCGGCGGGAGCCCGTCAGCGGCCGGTCTGGCGGAATGGAATCCGTCCGACGCCGTCACGGAGCCGCGTCTAGGCAAACTTTCCGCCGCCGTCCCGACGCCCGGTGGCTCTGCAATATTTATTGGCGCCGCGACGTACACGGTCGCTGCTGGATCCGACTCATGGACCGACGCTGAGTCGGCGACTGGTGCGATGTCGACACGATCTGAGGCTGGTGGTTTGGAGGTTATTTGCTCCAGGCTGGGTGGCTGGTCAGACTCCCATGGTTCCAGACTGGGCGGCTGTTCCGAACTCTGCCTTTGGAGTCTGGGCTGATGGTCTGTATCCCAGAGCTCTAGACTAGGTGGCTGCTCGGTTCGGTGCTGGTTAACATTTGGAGCTTCTTCGGGTGCCCAGTCCTCCAGACCTGGAGGCTGCTGCTCCAGACTGGCTGGCTGGTCTGGCTCCCATGGTTCTAGACTGGGTGGCTGCTCTGATGGTTGTCTTTGCATGGCTTTATCTGTGGTCTGCTGAGAAGCTATCGGTTCGTTTGTAGCCCAGTACTCCAGACTGGGTGGTTCTGATCCTTCCGGTCCACTCTCAGCTGGGTAGAACGTCTCATTTCCTTCCGTCTCGACGAAAGGAGCGTTACGAACTCTTGCCTCTGCGTCCAGTGTGGATGTCACCACTTGGCGACACCTGGGTGATGCGTGCAGCACCTCGGTCCGATAGTCCCATACCTTATGAGTCCGTGAGCTGTGTTCTGTCGTCTCTAGAGGACGTCTCGCTCCGTCCGTGCTCTGGTCAGTGACCTCCACACGTCGTCTCTCCGCTCTCTCGACTTCGGCTGGCACCTGAGTAACACTGGCTGACCGGCTGGTAGATACGTGAGTTTCTCCTGAACCGCGCACAAACACGTTCACCTCTTCGACAACCTCGTAGGTGAGAATCCGAGGACCTGAGTTTGTCGTGCTCCGGTGAGTCTCTGTCGTCTCCACTCTTCGAGTGAGTGTTTCTCTAGTAGCCTCATCTCTCACCACCTCGTTGATCACCTGGTCATCGTCCGCAACTGTATCCTCTTCGATCGGTTGCTGGTTTGGAAAGCTGACGTTTAGGTCTCCTGCACTAGAGTCACTAAACACCGGTGGTGCATCGCTCAGGGAACCAAGTAGGTCGATCTGAGGGGACAGTTCGGCGGCATCACACGGGTCTAGAAGCGGCGGGGGCTCATCTTCATCGAGTGCTGCCGTCACACGCTCCCCCTGCAACCCAGTTCCATCGTCCGACTTTTTACTGGCACCATCGGGTCCATGTCCATCTTCAGAGCCCGCATCTGAGCTGCCGGATCCATTGGAGTCTTTCGAGCTGTCAGAACCGTCTGAACTGGCGGAGCTTTCAGAGCCGGCTCCATCACTGTCCTCCGGTATACACTCGACTGGCGGTCCGGTCGCGGTGCGCTCCCTCACCTCTGGGGGCAGGGAGTACAGCAGTCTCTGCTCGGGCTGCGGTGGTGGCCGGCCGTGCACGGTCACCGACAGGGCCGAGCGGTACAGGCGGGACACGTGCGCGCCTGGGGGCCGCTCGGCCAGCTCGGGCAGGCTGCGGGAGCGCACCAGCAGGCTGACGGCCAGGCCGGGCCGACGGCGCGCCTCCTCCAGCAGCAGGTGGCTGCGCACGTCCAGCCGCGACACGTACCGCTCCCACATGTCGGCGTCTACCCAGCCGGCAGCCGCCGGCGCCTCGGCCGCCGCCTGCCGCGCGCACCACCGCCGACGCTCGGCATCCCACGCCGGCAGCCGTCCGTCGCCGACCAGCGGTCGCCCGATCACTGACCGCTCACCGGCCGACCCCGACGCCGACGCTGCCGCCCCGACCGAGCTCTGTTTACTGGCCATTGCCGGGGCAGCGGGCGGCCGCGCATGCGTCACAGCCGACGCGCGGGAATCGATGACCCCGTCCGACTCACCGGCCGACTCGACGATCGTGTAGAGTCGACCTACGTCGGTTGTCGAGCCGTCCAAAGGGTCCTTCTCCCCATTTACCTCTCCCGAGTCGATAGTGAACTGGAATGGGGGAGCGACGCCGGCTGACGATTGTGTGGGCGGGCCCGGGGACTCGCATTCGTCGGTTAGCTCCTCTGGTGGCGGCGGGGACGGAAAATGAATAATAGGATAGGCGGACGGAGCGTTTGATTGGGTGCTCCATTCGTCAGGATCTCCAGGGGCGGAATGGAAGCTGAGCGAATCGCTCGCAGGATCGACGGACAGCAGACTGGCGGCGTCTGCCGAGGTGTGATCGACGGCGGAGAGGAGCTGCTGGTGCTCCTCCTCAGAGTCGGAGGCGCCCGAGCAGGAGAGCCGCTCCTCGGCCCGGCGGCGGAGCTCCGCCCTGCCGCTCCGCGAGTGGCGCCGGTCGGGACTGGCCGCCGGGCTGCCCCACTCGCTGTCCGACGACTCGGCCTGCCGAACCATGCTGATTTTGATGATAGTGTTTGGCGCCGTTCGGCGACTTCCTGCCACTTTAGGCTGTGATGGCTTCCTTTGGCTTCCTGGCACTTGCAGAGGTAGTGATGTTGGGTGATGTGCCGCTGCTTCCAGTGGCTGTTTCCGGTGCTCGACCTGACGGACCAGAACTGGGGCAGCCACTATCGGCGGGTGGGACATCGGTCGGAAAAGACTGTCGATGCGCTGCTTTCCGGTGGCTAAATTCTCGACAGAATCGGCATCAATCATGTCTAGAGAGTCCTGAGAGAGCCCCAAATCGCTTGGCTCCAGACTGTCGTCAGAGAAAGTCGGCGGAGCACATACGTCAAAGCTGCCACCAAGGCCTTCATCGACAGAACAGGAGAGGATGGCTGCCGCTGGCGTGCAGGCAGGCTGCAATAAATCCCCCTGGCTGTAGGGGACCGACGCGGCCGGGGTCGGGTCAGCGGGGCGCAGTCGGAGGCGGGGGAATCGACTGACGTTCCGCGCGGAGCTGGACTGTGCCGCGGTGGTTGCCGAACGGCCGCCGCGTTCGCCACTGCTCCTCCGTCGCTGCCTCTCGGTCGAGTCATTCCCCTCATCCACCTGGTCCATAATCCGGCTGCGCTTTTCGTACGGACGTGAGTCGGTCGACGCCTCGCGGCGCCGCTTCCGTCTGCCACAGCAGCACCAGTCGGACTCCGTGGCATCTCCGGGAGGACCATCGCCGCCCTCACCACCTCCACCCCCGCCGGGATACAGCCGCCGCACGACCTCCCTGACCACCTGCCGGCGCGAGCGGCGCTCCTCCGACAGCCGCTGCATGTTCCCCGGCACACTCGCTGGCCGATACAGACCCCGGCGCTGCTCCCAAAGGAGAAAGTTCGCCCAGCAGCGACGCTCGCGCTCGCACACGATATCGCGCAGTTCGTCCCAGAGTTCAGAGGAGTCACTGAGGAGGCTCAGAGAGGAGGAGGTGGTGGCGGGGACGGGACGACGCGAGGTCTCCTCGGCACCGATCGGGCTCGGTCGCTCGGCGGCGGGTGTCTCGGGCAGCTCCGTGGCCTGCGCGCGGGTCAGCACCTGCCGCCGTCTGGGAGGGGGCGGCGCACTCTCCTGGCGAGGTGACGGAAGGTCCGGTTCGCTGGCGCTCAGGCGCTGGTATGAGGGGCGGTGCAGACTCGATGTCAGCGTCCGGTCGGCTCGGCGCAGTCTGAAACTGGGAGAACAGAGAAGATAAGCACTCGATAGCGTGACTGGCTAGCGGCGAAAACTAGACGAATTGAGAAGGATGTCAGCTGTCGGTCTAGGGTGGAACATTTAGTCGAATATAGCACGTAACACGGTAGAACACGGTAACACGGACTCGTAAACGGTATTATTGCTCAAACTTAGCGACAATACGCTTATTTCGGGACGAAGCGATTTCGAGGCTGAATGGTTATCACTATTGTCGTTGCCACTAAATCATAACTTAATGGTCTCGTCAGCCGATAGCAAGATAGCGTGCCAAAATCGTCAACTCCGTAAAATATAGGGCCTTTTGTCCGTCTATAAATGGAGAGTGGAAACCAGTAAAATAAAATAATAGTTAAATAAGACAGGCAGCATACAAGAATATCACGAATTGTAAATCTAAATAGTCATTTAATGATCGGCATCTCTTTCATACGAATTCCCTAAATGCCGACCCTACGTCCCCGTTGGACCCCACGTCGCACGAACATGCGGCAGTTTTGGCCGGCGGTAGCGCCCTCCCTCACCTTAAAAGGTACGCATACTGCAGCATCGCCGGTACAGTACTCCCTCCTTTCGGCGTTTGCAAAACATGCATGAACTGCGTGGTATAACATTCCTAAACATGAGTGATCCTCGTTTCTGCCACTTCACATCGACTTTTTATCGATTTCACAGCAATAGTCTTGCCAAGGTAAGGCTGCCAAGGCCGTGCCGGTTCAACCTGTCAACTAAGCGTTGATCGATCTAACGAAACGAGGCATCGCAATCAAGGTCTGTGGTGGAATTTTATCGACTTAACAGCCAGACTCAGCATTCTTTTACAAATTAGCGTCCCGCTAACACTAGCATGAATACTATACCTTTCGGTGAAAACTAAACAACAAATAATATATCGGACAACGAGGCAACTACGGGTATTTTAGAAGTGCGGAATTTCCACCATCGACCACACTCGCCCTAGCTTAGACCGCTTCCACCACCACCACACTGCACCACTGAACACCACATGGGAGCGCGGTACGCCGACACCACAGGAGCGGGCGCAGCCCAGCTCAGCTGTGGTGGTAGGTGGTAGCGTGTCGTCATGGGCGGAGGTACGGTTGTCAGAAACCCTACATCTGTTCGCCTGTCTGTTCGTCTGCCTGTGGGTGTGTTTGTCTGTGAGTCTGTCTGTGACTCTGTCCGTCTGTCTGTCTGTCTGTCTGTCCGTCTGTGAGTCAGTCTGTGAGTCTGTCTGTCTGTCTATCTGTCTGTCTGTCCGTCTGTCTGTCCGTCTGTGAGTCTGTCTGTCTGTCTGTCTGTCTGTCTGCCTGTCTGTGACTCTGTCGATCTGTCTGTAACTCTGTAGGCCTGCGAGTCTCTCTGTATATCTGTTTGTCTGTTGTCCACAGGTCGACTCATTGGTCGATCGGTTTGATGGTATAGATCAGCGACCTTGGTCCGAGCCGCCACAAGTGCTCTTAAAAGCTGACTGGGCACCCGCTGTGTCACCAGCTGAACTATAATAACCTCTTCGAAAGGCTGTCTGATAATTGGCTCAGGGAACAACTGCAGCCCTTAATTTGCGGACCTTTGCTTTGACATGCTTGCACCTGACATTTGTTACTGCTGAGTGGACCAACTAAGCAGCGTCAACCTCACTCTTTGTTTGCAAGCTATATGACCAACAACGTTGAGATAAAATAATTACCTAAATCGCAAGTTACTAGCCCATTTTGCCGACAGGTACCATAAAAAGTTTCTACCGTCAGTTTCTTACCGTTTGAATAGATCCGGCCAGTATTGGCGACTGTCTATAAGCCGTTTTCACGCCTTGAACCGGTTAGTTCAGCCTTTATGTGCTCGTTTTCTCACCACGTCAGCAATCAGCAACGAAGCTACAGTTCGCTTGACTGTCACTAAATAACACCATTAGCCGTCACCAATTATCACAAGCCATCACGCAAACCGTCACTAGCCGCCACCAGTCACGGTCGCGTCACCAGAGGTCCGTTCTCCATCGAGTGCCGGGAGCGTCACGGGACAGCGCGTCCCCGGTGTCATCGTGTTCGACACCGGTGACAGACTCCGAGCCGAGCTCTGCTCTTCCGTGCGGCTGCGGCGAGAGACGGCACGGCACGGCGGCGCACAGTGGACTAGCGGCGGCGCACGGTGGTCCAACTGGGACAGCACGGTGGCCAAAACTGGGCGGTACGCTAGTGCGGCGATACTAACTAGGTATGGGGAGACTCACCTTCGATCGGTGCCGGCGACATCTGCGTCTGAGGGGACACCTGAGTCGGCCATCTGTAACGGAACAAAGCCCGCCGGTCATTTGTGAGGGACGGAGCAGACGCGGCCGTATGGAGCGCTGTCACGGGTGACACCGTCGACGGACTCTGAGGACGAAATGTGTCGCCAGAGACAGCCGGATAGCGGTGGACATCGATGCTTCAGATCGATATAAGTGGTGCTAATTGTCAACCAGTTGTGTTTCGCGTCTATGTCGGTTGACAAGGGCTGAAAGGGACGATACTCATTTGCCCTTTGCAGGACAAGGTGATTGTGAAAATCACTATATCGCTGTCACTGGTCCCTTGTGGGAGCTTATGAGTGAATAATAGGCCCATAGGGTTCGCGCCTCGTGGTGTTGTGGCCACCGGGCCAGCCTCGTCATCACCCGGTCCGCCGAGAACCCGCGGTGCTAGTGGGTCTCCTACAGTAGTCGTAAAAGTGACTGTCTAAATAATTCCAGTCCGCTAGCACGCGACGTGTCGTGTAGGCGGCGACTTTCTGACTCCGACGAGATCAGTTTCAGTGTGGTTGGATTTCTAGGTCAGGACTAATCGACGCGTGTTAGGAGTCTGCGGAGCAGGTTCATCAACTGAGCAGGGACTTGTGCAAATGTTATTCAGGAGTAATTATTCGGGAGTAATTAGGCACGTTTGGGGTATGTGCCATATAATGCATTAATGTGCCCTTCGTCGCATGTCACTTGATACTGGGAAAACACCAAAAAGCGATCAACCTTAAGTTAATCAGTTAATCAAGATAGAACTTGATAAACATGGTGAAACTTCTATCAATACCTACAGATATAATGTTTGACTGTTATTTAGGTCTAGCACAGCGCCAAATGAAAACTTTTAATCTTCCTTTTTATTAGCAATGTGTCGTCAAATTTTCGTCACAAAAACATTTGAGCAGTAAGCTCAAGGAATATCCTAATTCTCAATGCAATGTGGATCGTCAAAAATATCCTGACTCGGATCTCTTGCTAGCTAAGAGATACTTCTAATGCAATCACTTTTTATACACCCCTGTCATTTCAGAGTTCCAAACAAAAACTCGCGTATATAGGCAATCTCAGACTCTCAGTCGCTCGTAAAAGTAAATAATACGATCCCGAAATACATAGGCACGTCTTTATAGAGTCTCGTCAAATCTATATCAACCGAGGTCCAACAATCAAAATGTTTGGTACGATTATGGTTACGTAACAGGCACGTTTAACTGTGTGCTATGCGGCACAGCCTACCATCCCAGGAAACTGACAGACCGCGGGGCGAGGCATGTCTTGACCATTCCGTATTAAACAGCACTTTCGTTATTTGATTATTCCGACTCTTTTCCTCAGTAAACAAGCAGAATGTTGACAAAAATACAGTACCACAGCCATCAGACCAAGCCCCGTGGCCTGTTCATTAACCCGCGCCCCGCTGGGCTATTCAGCCATACGCGCCCTGCTGGGGGGGGGGGGCAGATTCTGCCCCCCCCCCCTGTCTAACTTCCGAACCGATGGTCGTAGAAAGACGGGAAAAACGGCAAACGAAAGCTCTCAACAAGGCGGATCTTAAGAGCCCAATTTTTTTTGCTTAAGTAGGTCAGAGGTCAGGTCAAGGTCAGGTCAAGGGTACAAAATGCAAGTTTCTACAGTATCGGCCTTGCACCGTAGTTGCCGAAGAATGGACTGAGACTGATTGCCCAAAACGTGTTCTTAGACTACCAAGACAATATTCGTTGCACACAATGTCATTCAAAGGTCAAGGTCAAGGTCAAGGTCAGGTCAGGTCAGGTCACCAAAAACAAAATATAGAAAAGGGCATGTGCGACACATGTTTTATGGGTCATTTTACTCATATAATTCAATAGGCACACTCAATAAGTGATATGGACCACCTCTGGATGAATTTCAGGTCGAGGTCAGGTCAAGGTCGGGTCAAGTGAGGTCAAATTTTGAAGTTGATTGTTAAGGCCTAAAAAGGTGTCTATCCGATGCAGTTTTTCACGGCGAATCGAATGGTGCTATTTGTATTTCCGTACGAGGTCTAGAACTCCCAAAAGAAAATCATTTTTCAAAATTTTTGTGTGTCGTGACGTCATAAAATTTTGAATAACTCCCACACTTTTGAACCGATTCTTCTAAAAATTGGTATGTAGGTGCACATAGACCACTTCTTTGACATATATTCCGGTTTTTTCGATAAACTCAAAATTTTGGATTTTATAAATATTTTCCAAAAAAAGTCAGTTTTTTGGAAAAAAATTTTGGTCAAAATCCAAAATTTTCAAAAAACCGAGATAGCCATTTGATAGACAAAGTAGAATCACGTATAACCTTTTTTGTTACGTCTTGATTCCTTTAAAAATGAAGAAGTTAGCGGCGTTTGAAATTTTGCCGTTTTTAGGCGAAAATGGCAAACATGACGTCACTAAAACGTCAATTTCTCAAAAAATTTCCGACGGATTTCGCTCAAATTTTCAGGGAACGTGTCAAATTGATGTATGATAAGGTACTGAAAGTTTGACGTCGCTGGCGTAACGCGTTTAGAAGTTATTGGCGAAAAACGGGAGGGGGGCAGATTCTGCCCCCCCCGCGGGGCGCGGGTTAAAGCCCACGTTGTTGAACGCCGGAGTCTGTCCACTGAAACCCACCTTGTTGAGTGCCAGCAGACCGCGGAGACGATCGACCTCGGCCTGCAGCTCTTTCACCAACAGTGTGCCGGGCTCGTCATTGACCACGGGGGAGTTGACGATGGCCTTGGCCCTCTCGGCGAACCTCAGCGTGCTCAGAGTGTCGCTGTAGCACGTGCTGGCCGGGGACACGGCTGAAACGGAGCGGCCTCACAGTTACACACGGCCAAATGGTCGGATTGAGTGTCCCGAGCGACTCTGGTAGTACAAATTGCATCACAACGGCCGTCATCTGCATTGTTTGGTAAATTGAGTGCGTTGTTATCCGCTGAGTGCGAACCTGCAGTGCACAGTTGTGAACAGGTTCTAGAACAGACAGAGTGACTCATTTTGGTGACGCCAAACATCAGTGTTAGGATCTGTAGGAACACGTGTGTTGGCAATTACTAATTAGATGAATGATGTCATTAACACAGAGCTGGGAGCAGATGGCCGATGGGCCATCCAATTGATAGACACTCGTCGCAATTGTCAATCGGTACAGAGCGGCTATAGATGAGCTTTATATAATTTGAATAGTACGTTCCCAAGTATGGCTGCTTATGGATGGTTGAGTTGAACTGTAGGTTGATTTAATCAAATCTTGAAGCTACAAAATAAAAATTATACGCGCAAAATGCATTTCGCTGTTTGTTGGATATATTATGAATGAACGATTCGATCATTTAAGTTAGGTATTTCCCCGTGCCAGGTTCAAAGCTGCCGCTGGTGAATGTAACACAACAATGATAAAACTTCAACAGCAACTTTATCATCGAATCTGCGTGTGCTGACAGCCTCCATTTACGTATCAGCGAAGTACGGCAGGCGTCTCAGCGGGGCGGGGCTGGGCGTTACTATGTTTGCCCTGCAATGCACCAAGTGGTCGCCTATGTCAACAGACGGCCTTTATGTGGCCGACGACCGTGTCCAGCCGCCGTCCACGCCTCGCCAGCCGCGTAAAAAGGCCGCGATCGACCGACCCCGTTCCCGGCCACTTCAACCCTTCCTACCGGTCACTATTTCCTCCCTGCTCTGCCTCCCCATCCTCTACCCTCCCCTCTGTGATGCCTCCCACCTCTGCCTTATTTCCCCTCCTCTTTCCTCTCTCCTTGGGGTTTGGCCGACCGACACTAAGCTACCGTGTCACGTAGCAGTAAACAGCACCTCAGTCTGCCCCCAGTGAGTCAGGTTATCACCGTTTGTCCACCAACTTACAACACGCCACCTTCCACCCTGTAGTCGGCGGAGCCCTCCCATTCCCCTCGGCCCTCCCGTCCCCCTCCCCTTCCCCGTGACACGGAGTCCCCCATTCCCTTCCCCGTCTCCTACCCGTAATGTCCGGTGCACCACTCGGTCGCCATTGCCCAGCACCCTGTGTGGTGAACCGGGCAGTGCATGTAGGCACCGGTGCAGCGTTCCACAGTAATCCTCCATGGTCGACCCCCATATATCCTGCTCCCTTGTTATTCAGTCCAATCAATAACATAATGGAGCAGTGGGTGTAGGTACATACTGTTATGGCATGGAAACAAGGGTATGTAAGCCTGATGACGGGCATCGCTCACCTTCGATAGGCTCTGAACACCAAAGCATAATTCGTACGATAATGAATCGTCGACGGTAAAACGGCAGACAGGGAAAGCAATCGACTGGTTATATAATTGTGTGCAAAGTACGTAGATTAAATAACAAAACAAGTTACCGACATTTGATCAAACTAGCATAATATTGAACGTTAGAACTGATGCAATTGCAATATGCATATGTATGTACATGGGTGTGTTCCGTTCCGTTGTTGCATATTTTGAAGTGTTTTGTTGTGTTTGATGGTGTGATGAAGGTGCCAATTTTTATCATCCGCTCCATTGATTTTTGACTTTCGCTGATGAAGCTGATTGTGCTGACCTACCTAAGCATAGAATATCACACTTTGATCATATGTTAATGGATATGAGCTAAACAAATCTTATCAGTAGGTAAATCAGATCAATGGCCGGTAAAGTAACAAATTCTGTTTTTTTTTTTAATGAACTGAGTATCTGCAAGTAGTGGACATATGCGCATTAATGTCAAGTCTGCGCCATAAAAAAGGTTACGAAAATGGCCTTATGCGTCATGCTCTAACCGTGGAGCGAGACCCACTAATTCAGCATTAGATGGCCGATGAAATGTCACGTATTTACTATCGACCATTGAGCAGGTACTGCGTCGGTCCAGTACGGCAGTCTCGGCTCGGTAAGCTGCCGACATGTGTTGTGGCCTTGGCCCATTTCAGCGCGGGTTTCGAGGGTGGGGCGTGTGCCGCTGGCACTCGATATCGACCTGCCCATGGCTGGGCGAGTGCGCGGCTGTCCAAATAGTTACCTACTGTTACAGGCCCGGCACAGCCAGCTGTGGAGGTCAGCTGACCGGGCAGCTGGGGTGGTCACGGCTGGATGGTGACATTTGTGGGAGCTATGGGCGTAATGATAAAGAAGGGTGTTAATTAGGAGCTATACGGTTGAAAGGAAATTTGACCCGTGAGATGTTACATTCGGTGATGTTTAGAGCATTGTCAGGTGCCTGCCATTTGCCTCAAATAATGGTCATTTATGGAGCTCGAATGTAGTTACCATCCACATCATGGCTAGCTACTTAAAGGGACCCTCCCACCTTCAAAAAAGTTTATGAATTGGCATGAAAGTGATGTCGCTCGGTTCAGAAAGAGCGAAAACGAATATCTACCAAATTTCACCGAAAAATATTCACGGTTTTCAAGATATTATACTTTTACTTTTGTTTACTTTTTGGGATCCCCGCTGTTCCTAGCGACTTTATTTGGAAGCAATAGTTTGGCAGCTGAAAGTGCGGCACTTGTTGCGCGCAAAGCAGCATATACCACCGCTTGCTACAAAACGTTTTAGTCAAACATTAAAAAATCGTGAGATATCTGCGCTGACGTCACACATTCAGAGGGGTATTCCTATGCATTAGCCCCTCTGAATCAAAATGCTGCAATTTTGAAATTCAATATTTCCGATTTAAGGCATTTCTCGATGTTGTGAGTGCCGAAACCGGTAATTGTGAGCCAGGGACCCCATTTTGGCTATCTCAACTCAAATCTAATGTTAAGGTGGGAGGGTCCCTTTAAATTGTTTCATAATTTTTTACGGTCAACTATAAACAATATGCACCCAGGTGATCGAAAATACACATGCATTGGTAGTTATCCACAACGCTGAGGACATGGCTGGTTGAGCTAGACATAGGGTCTTGCAACACACCACTCCCAAATCACTTACTTGCGACCATGGCCGTTTTGGCGTTGCCGCCGAGCGAATCCTTGAGGAGCCAGGTGAGTACTGAGCTGCGGTAGGAGACGAACGTCGCCGCCCGCCGCCGCCGCCGCCTCTCCTGGCTGCCCGGCTGACGAGACCGACCCTGCTCGGCTGCAGGCGACACCACAGAGAGCAGTCAGGTCAAATGGCGTCGGATACCGAGAGTGAAAATTCATGGAGCCTAAAACTACATAGATTAACAATAGTAATTCTTCGAAGTTCCATTTTTCATGAGCAATTTAACTCTAAGAAAATAAAACTGATATGTGCCACTCCGGCACAGTTCGACCACTTGCACTGATTGGATCAAGTGCTGCCGTCTGGCGAGCAGAGCGCTACGCCACCTGCGTAAATAGCGAAGATCTAGCACCACGGTCCTTTCAGCTCACCCCGAGCCAATTCATCCCGTGTATGACAGATCAAATGCGGTAAACTATGATCGTTTCTCCCACCTAGCGCCGATATAACGTTTCCGAGAGCCACCAGTGACCGGTTGATGCTGGCTCCCTCTGTGAGTCGGGTCCGACTGGGGCGGCCCGGACCGGCACCGGCCCTTTCACTGCGAAACAGGTCAGTGCAGCAGTGTCGGTACCGTGGGGTATGCACGAATGGTGGGTGATGGTTGGGTGATGTGTTAAGGATTGATTCGGAATCGGTGGTCTAGTGTGTCTGGGAGAAGGTTTTTTATGTTGGTGGAAGAAAACAGGGAACAACAATAAAAAGAAGGCAATGAAATATCGAGAAGATGGAACAGGCCTAGCATGTCATACGTTGATACATATTCACATTGTTATAATCAGCTAACTCATGGTGGTGAACAATAGGCAGTTACTTAACAGCATGCCTATTGAGAAACCTAAATGAAATCCTAGCAGAAATTAGATAATAGGTATCGGCGAACAAACTGATCTCGTCCAACAAGCAGCAATCACCTGAGAACGTCGTCCCTTTTCCCGTGCCCGCTCTCGACCATTCAATTGTATGTGTTCCCACAGCCCGTTCCTCTGCACCTCTGCTCCCCACTGACCTGCCGGCCAGGTCGACCAGGTGCAGTTTGGAGGCGGTCCGCCCGACCCCGCGGCGCCGGCGCAGGTGGACGGTGACCAGCGCGTGGCTGCGGCTGCTCCAGTGGTTTACCTGGGTGGCGCCGCACTGTCGGCGGGCCATGCCGCGGTTCAGCAGGTCCCGCAGAGCGGCCACGCTGGTCACACGGTGCAGGGTCAGCCCTGATGGCGCAGAGGAGACGGTCGGCGACAGTCAGAGTCATAGGCGGCGGAACGGGGAGGGCACCGGGGCACCGTTCCCCCTTTGATTTTGGCATTTTAACATTAGCCCTATGGGCGTTGCATGGAAAGAATGGGATCAAAAGTCGGCAGTGGCCTCCCCCCCCCCCCAATTGAAGGTGTTCCGCCGCTACTGGTCAGAGTCAGCATTGTAAGGTGGATCCAGGAGTGATTAGATCAAATAGCTCTAAAGGAACTTCATAGATGTTTTTCGAATATTTAGTCCGAACCTTTTGAATGGAAGCATTCACAAGGACAGTTGCCAAGCTTGTTGCGGTGACCTTGGCCTCCACCCTCCGATCGCGCAATTTCGGTTCTATGGCAGAATTTGGAGTCCAAACAAAGTTTAACGTAAGCACAAAGCCGTGCACGGCCGGTCCCTTCACTGACTTCGTCTGGCTACGGCCTGCCACCAACCGCAACCATACCTGTCAGGAGGCCCATAAACGTCAAGCGCCCGTCGGATCCCGGACTTGTTACAACCGGGAACGCGTGCTCTCACCACGGGGAGTCCAACGCTCTACCGACTTAGCTATGGGACCGGCACCGTGTAAGATGAAACCGACCGGCATAGATGCATGATGAAAGTTAAAACCGGAAACGGCTAGAAAGTCACACTGTTTTGAGGCGCATGTTTCACAAAGAACTTCAGTGAATTGAATATATATATATATATATATATATATATATATATATATATATATATATATATATATATATATATATATATATATATATATATACTTAATTTTTAATTGCATCAGTCGCGATACTTCATGGATAGAGCGATCGAGTTTTATTGCCGAATGGTCGACTCGGACCTGATCAGTGGCGTCCCAAATCTAATCTCATCAATCGTTGTTGCGTGCCTAAAATTGTCGTCTAAACACACAGCATTTCAACTCCATTAAAAAATATGCGATATTTTCAGCTCGTAAGCAATTTTCGCGCCGAACTATGACTAACTTTTGCCATAAATTATCCGAGGAAAATCGGTTGTAAAACAACGCATAGTATCATAATCAGAACCTGTCCAGGCGCCAATCAAACGGCCGGGTCACGATAAATGGATCAATTTACGCAGCCCATTGTGTTTCGACGCAGGTAAATTGGCTAACGAAGTTCAATGGCACGGAACTATGCCTTATTAGTGACGTTCCGGATACGGTACGCAATATGCAGCCTTGTCGCTGATTCATCAAGTGACACTTGACATCAGGCTCCGCGGATAAAACTATAAATACTGAGCTAACATCCACTGCCCTATCCTCCAATCTATGCGCCAAATGGTGAATGTTAATTGTTGAATGTTATACCTAATTTCGACGTCACTATTGTTCGTTACCTTCCACATAGGGCCCGGTCCGCGGGTGTTCCCGTATCCGGAGACTCTTCTGTTCATCTCCGAGCAGGTCCCGTACCGTCTCTTTGTACACTTCTATGCAGCTGTGGAGGGGAACAGGTGCATCAGACAACGTGAACCAAGATTACTTTACCAATAACGACGTAACGATATTATCTCCATGTGTTCTGACTTATCCATAACATTCACGCATGTTTCGTAAAAAGCTAAGCATGATTCGGGTATATTTGCATCGACAATAATCAGTGCAAATAAATAGTGTCTTTCTGTTGTATTGATGAGTTGCATCGTGCTACCGTCGATAATTCATAGTTCTGTGGACAGATGGCAGTAGTTGTTTCGCGCCTGAACAGTAGGCTGTGCCGCACGACACCCGCACACGGCAGACCACAATTCAAGGCGTAGCGTCTTCCCGGACCGTGATGCGCTTACTGGATGAAATCTACGATAGCATATGAAACTGGCCGATTATGTGATAATTCTAACTAAATGTTTGGTCAGCAAGCTATGCTCAGCGTCTACGTCGTCTCACTTTTACATCGGCGCATTTTATGACCGATACACGAATTACACGAACGGTAATTAGGTACGGATTTAACAAACTTCCTCTGTCGTTTTTCATGTAGAACACCAGTTTACGGCACAAAACAAATGCCAGTGCGTCGCTTCTGCCAGTCTCCTGAATGAACACCCGGACAATATGAGCCGTGGCGTGCGAGGTCGGATCTGATTACCCCAACGACCCCAATAAGACGGCAATCGATGGCCGCACTACTGCGTGTTCATGACCTTGTGTCAGTTCTTTGTTGTCACATATACATATAGTTACGCCTCTGATGTGCAATCGGCTGTAACTAACCGTAGTCTCGTGATATGATTTGTAATAAGACTGATGATGGCGAATGGCTCGCATATATCTGTAACATGTTCAGCAATTCATGAAGGTTCCCTACCTGAGAGAAATGGAAGCGTCGTCTGCTACCGCTGGCAGTCGGTCCAGGAGTTCTTCACAGAGTCGCGGCATCATGCCGGGACAGTCCTGAAATGGTTTAAAAATATTGATTTTTCATCATGAGAAGGAGATAAATTTGGGAATGCGACCAATTGACCAATTGAGACCAATCATTTTGGTAGTTCTGTAATTTCGCAGCCACATTTGTGTATATCGGTTCTGAAACTCCATTTAGATTGTTTTAAGCAGCCTAGTTATAAAGCATCCGAGTTCGTAGCACATAAATAATGGCACATTAACTCCACTGCGACAAGATTAGTGATGTCAATTTCAGAAAACCTATGTCCAATGTCTGTCCAATGTCCAATACTTACGTCGACCGTCCGTCCAAAAATGTCCAAGCCAGCCATTTGTCCAAAGATGTCCGACATCTACGCAATAGTTTACACTCAACACCGTTATTTAATTTGCTTTTAATGTATCGTTACCAGCTCAAAAGTGGTAATCATATCGAAAGCTGAGCTTTCTAATAGCCAATCAATGTTAAATACGATTTCTTTATAAAAATGTTGAGGTGTAGCAAGCGATTGTCCAAAGTTGTCCAAAGCCTGCTGTCATTGTCCAACCGAATTCCGAATTGGACATTGGACAAAATCGGAATTCCGAAGATTCAAGTTCCGATTGACACCACTAGACAAGATATCAAATAGTTATCACTGACCGATCGTCACATATCAAGTGGGTACACGTGATAACTAGTTCAACTCGTATGTGGGCCTGTAACACGTCCACGTGCGACATGATTATTGCTTGACCTTGAACATGTCGATCACTGGAAATCATGCACTCCGAGTCATGTACTCAAGTTCGATTGACGTCGGCTCACGACTGGTGCACGGCCACGAGCCCACGCTTCCAGAGCTCAGGGCGCGTCCTATCGACTCGCTCAGCGATTCGTCCTACCGCGGTTCGGTGGCGGGACCCTCACCTTGACATCAGCGCCGACTTTACTACGGGCTGCCCTTCTGTGCGAGCCGCCGCGGCGATCGACCCGATCATTCATGGTAGATTGCCCGGGGCCGGCTCCTTCACCACAATGCCACCCGCCAGATAGTGATACGGGGTTAGCGAACTCCGATTACAAACCCAAAGAACGCCGAACGCGTCATCTCATCCATTCCTGTCTCCGGCTGAAAGGCTCTCCGATTTCGTCGTCCGCCGTCCCAGAGCGCGCGAACACCAACTGCCGGCTCTTCAACGGTGACTAATCGATGAGCGGCAACTTTGCGGATAACTATCCACTAATCATGAGGCGGCGTCGGCGGCCGGCGGAGGCCTTTTGTGGCCTGCCGCCGGTGCCATGAACGGGCTGGCTCGGTTGACAGAGCAGCCCATGCCACGGCTCTATTGCGCGGCTCTGATTGGCGGGCCGCTCGGCCGACCCGGGAAACTAGGACGGCGACCTCAGGTCACTGGCAACGGCGCGGCCGTGGCGCCATAACTTGAGCCGGGGGCAGGCTCAGTGGTCCCCGGCAAACACTGAAACTTCCGAACAGGCGACTGAGTGACCGGTGTGGGTGGAGACAGACTTGAAACATGGTCTTTCCAGCGTGTAAATGCTGCAAACTAATACATCGCCATCGCCATAACCCTGCAGCTTTTAGTAACCAGATCATTCGCTGACGCCGGCCTATTGTTCACCGAATCAACATCTAAATTACACGCCTGTCTTTCCAGTGAAGTGATAATCATAAATATAAACTAGGTCAACGGGTGTTAATGTGTTTCAAATCATGCCAAAGCATAGCTATGGCCAACAACTTGTAGGTAGCATGGCTGACTCCGCTGACTGTGCCCAACATGCAACGTGAATCGTGATGTTGTCGTTCTTAACGTTCCGTATTTTCTCGGCAATTGAATGTTTTGAATTTTCCATTCATTTACAGATGGCACCATAGATGCGTATAATTGTTCTGTTATTTAGATGTTTGAACAGCACGAATGGAAAATGGTCAATGAGAAACGTTAGTGATGAAATAATTAGCAATAAAACGATAATTGGTTAATTGCATTATTCAAATGAAAAATGCAGCACAGTGAAATACCGCACCGGAATATTTAAGCTTTGGCAATCAATTTCTTTTTGAGAATTGCCTGAGTTGCACTTATCTCCCAGCGCACCGGTTGCACTGGGTTGTACTCGTATATTTGCCTGCTATAACGTGTAAGTACGTACCGGCCGCCCAAGTGATGAAAGTACGTACCGGCTGTCCGAGCATGGTGTGCGTTTTGCCGGAGCCCGACTGGCCGTACGCCAGCAGGCAGCAGTTGTAGCCGGCCAGGACATCCTCCAGAAGCGGTCGTCCCACGGCTGCATACACCTGGCGGTCAGGCACAAGGGCCGTGTCTCAGCACGTAGGCGATCTCAGTTAATGATGACGACTTCTCCACATATGGCTGCTCCTATCAATCCAAATGGGTAGATAGGTATCTCTTTGGAGCCTTGTATTTATGCATACCTATTTAGTCAAAAAAATAAAAAAGTAAAAATAACAACAATTAGGAGCAAGGACCAGAGTTTCTTGATATTCACACGGAATATCCCCAGCAAACAGGAAACGTTAGTACAACGTTGTCACAACGTCGTGTTTCGGTAAGTTACGAAATTACGTTTTAATTACGTTGTAGCAACGTTCTAAACGTTGTGAAGCCATGGTTTGGTCCGAAAGTTGTGGTAAAACGTTGTGACAACGTTTTTTGGTACGTTGCAGCAACCGCGCACTTGCAGCATTATATTTTGATAATGCATGGTGACATATAAGGCCATATATTGCATTTCCTTTGACTTTCAATGCACATTTTCAGTTTTCATCGTTAAATTTGACATGTTTTAACACTAGGACTGTTCACGTTGTCAGCTGGTGGTCGCCAACACGTTGTTAAAACGGTTTGTCACAACCTTGACATTATAGGTAGGTGTTTTTACAAGTAAATTCTGATACCTC